GGGGGGGGGGGGGGGGGGGGGGTGGTGGAGCGTGGGTGTCTGATATTGATGCGATGTTTGGAATCGTGGCACCTAGGGAATTTACTATGTTTGAAATCTGAAATCATTGCATTCTACGTATGCTATGTGAATTTTGAATCTTTCAATTGCCATACTTATTAAGAATCACTCTCCTAAAAGCTTAAATTACTAGCTGAAGAAGGCTCATTAATGGTTTTATTATCTCCAACTTGCCTTTATGCAAGAGTTGTTTTGGCTTGAAGCATGGGCAAGGCATTTGCTCATGTTCCATTTTGCTGAAATTTAATACGACGAATGGGGGCAACAAAAATCAAACTGATGACCATATGATTTTTTACATTTTTTAATAGGATTTGGATTTTCTTATGTTTTAAAATAATAGGGGAGGGTTCTCTTAGATGGATAAAGACAAGTTTTTATTATAACTACTGCACCTAATAATCCATCATGTTTGCTCCCTGCATTAAAGATCCTTGTTGCTATCTCCCACTGAATGGTTTTATGATATAAGAAAATTCAAAATCCTATTACAATAGATTTAACAACTCTTCCCATAGCTTAAGCTAGTAGGTTGAAGTCTAGGAGTGGTTTTGTATCTCTAACAATACTGCAGAATGTATCTCGAGTTGAGTCCCTTGTATTTGATATTAGAATGCCTCACATACTAGTGAATTGCTGATCTACTAAATAAGTGCACTAGTAAAACTTGGGATGGATACATCATTTTTTTTGTAATTGGAAGAAGTTTGTCACTTCTCATCTTATATTCTAATCATTCGTTAATATCCTGTTTTCATCTGTTTTTTTTGCTGTTTGTCCCTTTTGTTTATTTCACCCACACACTGGCATTGTGCAGTAGGAATGGATCAATTATATGCCTCCTTTAGGGTTCCTTTCCCAGATCATGCTTTTGTATGTGGCCTCAAGATTTATTTTGAACATATATTTAGCAAAATAGCTGTCTTTTAAGCTTAGTCATGAAGAAATAAATTTGAAGTTGGTTTTGTTCCATGAAATGCTCTTTGTTTGATGTAAGATAAAATTCGTGCCACTAAACACTTGAAATGAGGTTATGAGATGCTTGAAATCCTAGCTATCATATGCTTGCAAAGAATTATGAAAACTCATGATGTATGAGAGAATGTGAATTATAACATGGATATAGTATTTTTGTAATTGAATTGAATTGTGATAATTTCAAGTAATCATTGCTAATAGCAGGATGGGAATCTTGAAACTTCTGCTTGATTACCCTAGTATTCTTGGTATATTACTATATTTTGCTATGATTTTTATTCTACATGATGCAAGCTAATGAAGAGAAGTAATCAAACTAGACAAGAAGATGGGTTTTCCTAGGTCCATTATTTGTTATTTTTTGGCACAAGAAGATGTAATTACCAGGGCTTGAGCATCTACAATCTTTTTTCCAATTCTGCACCACCTATCCTAACTCCCTTGAGATGTCAAAATGATTTAGGAGGATAGTTTTTTGAAGCTAAACACAGTTATTAGTGGCCTTCTCCCTTGTTTTGGTTTTTTCTAATCCAAAGTCTTACTAGGATTTGCCTTAAACTAGCCTGACTAATTTACCTTATTCGTGTCTTTCGAAGGCTCGACATAAAAGCCTATTTAAGCTCTTTATAATAAGGTCTTTAAAAGAGATTAATATGTTTATCATTATATAAATCAACATGCTTAAGTGTGTGTTTAGTTCAGCTTATTACGAAGAAATAATTGTTTATTTTTGTTGACTTTTTGAGAGATCTTTTGATGAATTAACCTCTTACCAAACATGCATGAAATCTTGAAATAGGTCAACTAGTATTTACTTTCATGGCATTATAGAAAATTTAAATATTGTTTCCTCAAATTTTTGAGATGCCCTATCTAGCATGTTTCGCTCTGGGACACCAATACACATCTTTCCCATTTTCTTCTAATATATATATATATATATATATATATAATTTTTTTAAAAAAATTCTTTTCTTTCTTATTGCTTTATTAAGTAGTAAGCATTCTTTCATTTCATTTCAATTAATATTTTTTGTTATTTCACAATGACATCTATCTCCTGGATCCGTACACTATGTATGTCTTTGTCACTATTAGGGAAACTAGTTTCAAGCCTGTATTGCCAGTATACAACAACAACAATAATAACCAAGTCTTTATTTCAGTAGGTGAGATCACCAATGGATTTCATCTTAAAATCAATTGCTATTAAATAAAGTTTTCTAATAGATATATAAACTGCATCCGAAGAATCGAGACAAACAATATGAGACTTTTTAACACCGTGTTTGAAGTTTTGTGTTGGCTTCAGGAGCTAGACTGGATCCATCAAGATGCCCTCACAATTCCTTCCCTTGAACAGATATTTTGAACCGGAGCTCCCAACTAAAATAATTCTTCCTGTTGAATTGAGCTATAGAATTTTCTCCATACATGATTAACCAAGAGGAACGAATTTCCACAAAACAAGAATTCAAGAATCTGGGAACACGTATCAAGAACCCAAAAAAAAAAAAAAATTGGGGTAGAAAGCACGAAGAAGATAAGAAGACTCCTTGAAAACAATGGAGACACACTTTTAGGTTTTAGAGTTGAAGCTTTGGTACCATAAAAGAATTTAATTGAATGCCTCCTATAAAGGAGAGATCCCATTAAATATTAATCTCCATAGTTATACAAGGAAACTGTATCTATAACTATCTAAGAGCATCTGCAATAGGAGTTGCTTATAAGCAATTTCTATGCCACATCACTGTCAAATCAGTTTTGACCCACTTTGTGGTTGTTTAAATTTTAGCAGAGTTGCTTGTAGAAGTAACTCTGCTAAAATTTAAGCAACTTACAAAGTGTACCAGAGTTGATTTGGCAGTGATGTGGTACAAACAACTCCCATTAGAGATGCTCTAAGAAAACATTGTCTAACACACGACTAATTTACAGCTGTCAATTAATGAAATAAATGAAGTAAATAAATAAAAAATATTCTAGAGAAACTAAAGGAAAGAAATAAACCAGAGATTCTATTAATTATGTTGACAATTATATTTATTAACTGATTCCATAAGGTTAAATCATGTCTATCAACAGATTATTGACTTCTAAATCCTCCTTATTAGTTTTGCCTACAATTTTTCTCATTCACCCTATGCTTCTAACAGTTGAGCTACCCTCCATTTGATCCAATTGTGATAAGCAATTGATTAAGAGGGTTAACCTGAGGAAACATAAAAGGAAAACAAATGAGAATTAATTTTGAGTTGTGTAAGGAGTTGTTGTAGTTAGAGAAGAGTTTCACTGCCTATGGTCAGAGTTAGGCTGAGAAAATAAATAGGGAAATTCAGAGAAGGAAAGGACAGAAGTTGTAATTCCGAAAACAGGGGGGGAGAGCCCTATTCTTTGTATAGTTTCTAGTTCTTGTTTCGGAGCTCACATTGGAGCAGGTTTGTGAACTAGGGTTCATCAATATTTTTGTTAACAATTCTGAGCCAGTTCTATCAATTGGTACCAAAGCTCCATTAAGATCCTGTGGGCATTGCAAGATCGGAATTGGTGGAAAGAAGTTTGGAGGTGTGGTGCAAAGAAAGAGGAGAGGAAGAATGCATGAGGCAAGAAAGGAAGGAGCGACAGATCAGCTGCTAGGTAAGAGGTCCGATTCAAGGAAGTAGAGTAAATGATCGAACAATAGATGTGCTGGATGGGGCAATCCAAAGTTCTGAATAGTAGAGACTGGGCATTGAATAAGGCAGAAAGTCGAATCTCAGATGAGGAGCCACCACAATTATTAGAGAGCAACGCAAGAAGCTTGAGATTTCCATTCCTTATTCTTTTGAGAGAAGACACTTGTGGGTGGACCAAAAGGTTGGGAGTTGGAACAGTATTTTCACATCAAAGGAGCAACAGAAGCGGAGACAATGGAAGAATTAATGGTGGCACTAGAGGATCAAGCTTTGGCTTGGCTGCAATGGTGGGAAAAATATCCTTGGGAGAAATTCTAAGTAGCAGTAGTAAAGAGATTCCAACCCCTAATGGTCAAAAATCATTTGAAGTCCTTCTTGGTCTGAAACAGAGTCAGTAGTACATTTTGTTAAAAATTTTGAAAGATATTCAGGGGCTTTTAGGGGAATTGAGCAAGAACATTTGATGTGCATTTTCTTGAACTTTAAAAGGAGGAAATGGTAGTTGAGGTGACACTTTATGAGCCATGTTTTCTCATAGAATTGATAAAGGGCGTTAATGGTAGAGGAGACGATTCAAGTAGTGGGAAGGGGTCTGGTGGGGCCATTCTGAAAATTCTTATAGAAGTTATGTTGTCCTAATAACAGTCTTTATAAAGACTAACACAAATGGTGAATTGACGGAGACTAAAGTGTGGAAGTATGAGAACAGGTACGATCGTTAATAGGCCTTCCAGGAATGGAGGATAACTTACGGGAGATTGGAAAATTCAGGAGGTTGTTAGGGGGAGAGATGCATGAAAATATTAGAAAGGGTAATATTTCAAATGTGAAGAGAAGTATGGATCTAATCATGTGTGTAAGAACTAACAATAACAGATTATGTTAGAGGTAGAAGGTGAGGACTGTCAAGATTCATCTTATCAAGCAGAGGAGGTCCAGGGGGTTCAACTTTCACTGCATAGCATAGCATCAGGACTAACTATAAGAAGGTCGTTGAAAGTGTGGGGAATGCTTGTGAAGTTGGAAGGTAGTAGAGCTGGTGGATTGTGATTTGTGGCTCGTCACATTTTTTAGCCATCAGAGTAGTGGAATAATTGGAGTTTCATGTCACAAGTACCCTTCCCTATCATGTACATGTCAAGGATGGGCACAGTCAAGGAGTTTGTCGAGAGGTGATGCTGCAACTACTGGAAATGGAGATACATGACTATTCTTTTCAGATTGGTGGGCAAAAGCAACTCAACAGTTACACTAGTCCTATCATTTTGGTCAAGAAGAATATGGGATGATTTCGTGTCAATTGTAGGGATTTAAACAAAACCACCATAGCCAACAAAATTCCCATGCCCATCATAGAGGTTGGCTTTACTATATCTTTTAAGCTAGACTAGATTTAAAATCGAGCTATCATCAAATAAGGATGGGGTGAGAGAAGACATTCTAGATGTCATTAACGGCCCTATGAATTTTGGGTGATGCCTTTTTCCTCATGGCTACCTTAACTTTCTATGATACGTTCATTTGCAATCCTATCTTGTGTGGTATGTTCACTAATCAAACGCAACTTCTCATCTTTGTTGCATGAAGTTTATTTTCGAAAGTTTTCACTTAAGCTTAGTGATACCTATTTTTGTTGCCTCAAAGAATACCAATAACCCCTCTATTTCATTTACTCCTATTGAAACTTATGCATTACGTTTCTCTATTTCTACTTTTTGTGCAGTAGACACAAGATACTTTGTGGCTTGTGATCTACTATGGTTTTAAGTCTGTACACCAAGAGTTTAATAATACTGTGAAACTGACATGATCCATATGATTGCAAATATACCAAATTATTGGGGCCTATTTACAAAATATTCAAGTTCCATTATCCTAATTAGTTATATGGATTCTCAGACCTAACCTATATCTCCATTGATGTAATAATTCATAGAGACGATGAGCTTTATTGGAAATGAACATGTGTAAATTTTTATGGTAATGAGATACACACTTGTATATGAACTGGTGACGATCGGGTTGGATGTCTAACAGAAAAATCTCATTAGTTGAGAGAGCATTTCTTGTCGGTCAAAAGATGACTTGGAGAATGGTGTCACAAACCGCACTATGGGTAAAACTTTGGATACTACAGGCAGAAGGCTACGATTTTGACAGGACACTTTGGTACAATACTGTTAAAGCACAAATTTGTAGGAAGGATTTTCGGTTACAAATATGCTAATGCATAATGCATGATTGTGTTGATATCATAATCTAGTCTGTTTCCTGGTAAGCCTTTTTATTTTGCAATGAACAAGTATTTTTTGTCAGAATTGATTGAGGTTTCCTAAATCTCCCCCAAAAATGCAGTCTAAATGTTTATGATGAGTAATGCTTCGGTTTCCGAAATGAAACACCGAGTTATCCTCCATCATATGAAACTTTCACAAGTTTTAAATTAAATTAATATTTATATTAAACTTTCACTCGTTTATGATATCAGCTTTTATCATATTAACAGAATTTTCTTTTAATTTATAGTTGCAGTAAACTCTGATAAAGAGCATGTACGTCTGCATCAAGTTTTAATTTTTTGGATTGGTCAGTTAAGTTAATGTATTAGATTTAATTTCTCGGGGGTAGAAGTAGATGTCTATGGGACGGTAATTGCAGATTGTAGAACTTTTATATCTTAGATTAGGAGACTCGTAATGAGCATTGATTTGATTTTAGTTTTTGTTGATAAATTGAGCATTTTGAGTTTTACAGGTATGTGCATTACCACTGAGTACCGCATCATTGGACTGGGCGATGCAGTTTTCCATATCAAACATTAATGGTTTGACTCGCGGCTTTGTTCACTAAACTCAGGTTGTAGTATAGGCATCTTTCGAGAGAAATTGAAGAATCCTATATAAGCTTACTAGTTTATAGTTAAATTGAAATTATGAATGAGTAATAACATAATGCCTATAAGCTTATAATTAAATTGTTGGATGGTGTACAAACAGATACCTTCTCTTCTGAAGCAGGATTCATAAGGTGATGATGTTCCTCTTTTACCTTGTTGTAGCGATCAGTAACAGATTTCATGCTGTCGTAATGTAGGAAGTCAGTACAAGAGCATATTAGCAATTTTTGATGAGTAAAACATGTAGATTAATGCTTGAAACAAATTAATACTCCATCTGGTTTTGAGTATAAGAAGAAAAAAAACATTCACGCTAATTAATAAAAGTTTTATACATCGTTTAATTTTATTAATTTCATTTGAAAAACAACTTATTTTCTCAAATTATCCTTTCTTGATATAAAAAATACAAAGAAACATTGAAAATATAATTTTAATTAAATGAAGGTATATTTTAGAGATGACAATATTAAATAAAATGAGATTAGTTGAAATTTATTTATATTTAAGATCAATTAAAATGAGATTTTTTTAATTATTTATATTTAGAATCGGTAAGAGAGTGTTGTCAAAAGCTTGTTTAATATAATTTAATGTATGGAGACTAATAGAAGTTTCTAAAGTTAAATGAGTATCAATCAAAGATTCGAGAGCTTTGTAATTTTACCTAGCTTTTGTTTTGTTCTATTTTTTTCAACTGTTTTTTTTTTTAAGTTAGTTATAAAGACTACAACGATAATAATGATTATTAAACTTAAGCTTGCATCCATCTATGCTATTTCTTACTTCCAGATCGATTTAAATTGTTCAATTAAGTAAAATTGAATGTACTACTTCTAGAATGTACCAATTATATGTATCAATGAGTTAGGGTATATATATATATATATATTATTTAAATTTTGATTATATATATATATATAAACTAATTAATTCTTTATATTCTTAAAATCAAGTAAATTTGATGTTTTCATCAAGTAAATTATTCTCAAATTCTATTCAAATTATAGTAAATTTGTTAAAAATATGAAGGATTTTGAAGTATGTGAAATTAGGGTTTGTAAACAGAAATTAAACTTTGAGAATTGTTTTTTCTTTCAGATGAAATTTGTTGTTTTAATTGACGAGTTGGAGTATAATAATATTTAAAACAATTTAATTGATTCAATTTGTGAATATTTTTGTTAGAAAAATAAGAATTTAAGGAGTTTTGGTAGAAGAAATTCATAAATATATCAAATTTGCTTAATTTTAATATTATAAGGACTTAGCTTATTAAAAATACTTAGAGACTTGCACATAATTCAAACTAAAGAAACAAGAGTGCAAATAAGTTTTTTTTTTCTTCAAAATATAATCATGACATAAGTAATTACATGTATTCTAATATCTAATCTCTGATAAATTTCTTTCCTTACCAAAAGATATTATATATTATGTTTAGTATATTAATTATAGTTTTATATAGTATTTGATGTTTTAGTCTTCGCAAAGCTGGAAGACACTTCTATCAATATTATAGTATAAAAAAATTGATGCTTTAAACTATTTTTTTTTAAAAAAAAAAAGTGAACCGCTACAAAATAGTCATAAAATTTTTTAATATCAATCTAAGAAACTGTTAGCCAAGAAAGTTATTTTTTATAGTATAAATCTATAATAACAAATAAAGAATATAGATTCTCTTAATCTATTTTTGGTATCTATTTTTAGTGGAACATTTTGTCTTTTACAACTTTCATAAAAACTAAATCAAATTATTTATATCTAAAATTTTTTCTTTCATGTTTTAGTCTTTTAAGCTTTTTAAGTAATCGTAAGTTACATTTTTGTTATAAATGAAATTTTTTTACTATTTACACAATTTTTTTCTCTACCATCTCTTTTCTTATTATATAGTCAATACGTCTCAAAAATTCTTATTTTTTTATGATAAATAAATAAAAATACAAAATTTATCGACTCCACTAATAATTAATAATAATAATTAGTTTCTCTTGTTTATAGCAGAATAAAAAGTTTTAATATACCAAACAAAAATTACATAAGATTTATACATACTAATTTTTGTTATCCAATTAAAATTAGAGTTTTACTTTGATAATTCATTAAAAAATTATATAAATTATGAAAGATAAATTTCAATTATAGTTAGAATAATAACATCTATAAACCTATAACTTTTGTCCTAACATACTTAAATTTATTTCTTTAAGTACAAAAAGTTGTTTATATGGCATTGCCAAACATCCATTGGATTCAAAATTGTTATATATATAATTGGAAAAAATGTAACTTTCGTTAAATTGTTATTTAAATTCAAAATTGTTATATATATAATAATATCTAGTGATTATATTTTATATGTTTGATTTAAATTAATAAAAAGAAGTATCAAATGATTTTAATTTTAATTTTTAAATTTGTAAATTTAATCTATGCATTACGAATTTTAAATTTAACAGTTGAATCATTAAGATTTAATGCAGAACATAAATTATTGAACAAATTAAATCTAAATAAACTTATTCTTGAAATAAACGGATCTCTCTATATATATAATTTATCCAAATCTCACATTTCTTGTGATGATAATCATATTAAAATTGTAAGCACAAATATCATTACGCACAGATGTTAATATAGTTCTTCTTAAATAAATTAGTAAATATCGTTTAACAAACCTCTCAATGTTTTTTTGTTTAATTGTGAGAATCAAATTTAGTATAAAGGAGTTTATAATAATTCACTTATTTTATTTTTATATTTTTGAATGTGATAGTTTGTAGTTTTGAACTTTTATGTGAATCAACCGTGTCATGCATCTGGTATTAGATGAGTTTGGGTTGGATTTTTTCAAATTCCTCATCTAAATTGATCAAAATAGTTTGGATTGAGTCTAAATAGTGTTTTGTAATTTTTCTATCAAATTCGAATCGAACCAGCCTTATTGATAACACGTTAGCTTGGATTTAGCAGAAAATTAAAATATATTTTAAAATTTTTAAAAACCATATTTTTTTTCCTTACCATTTTGATACAACTTTCGAACAGTTGTGTTGTACAAGTATTTTGAGTTTTTTGATTTCTTCCAATAGTTATGTTATACATGACTATTTTTTCAAGTCTTTTTTTTTTCTGTATATATATTTTGATATTTGTTTACACTTCACAAATTAACTTTATACACTCAAAGAATTACTAGAATTTGATTTCAGGTGAATCTAATTATAAAACATTTTTTTAATTAAATCATTAAACACTATGAAATTGGTATTTCACATTGTCTAAATGATTTTATTCATTTGTGTGCGTTTTTTAGCCATTTTTTTCATAAAATATATAAATAATAATATAAATTTAAAATATGTACATTAATGAGTTGAGTTAGAGTCATGAATTCTGTTAAGGTGCATTTAAGGGAGTATCTCACACATATATCCACATTGATATGATATTATCCACTTTAGATTTAAGTTATCATGATTTTACTTTTAGTTATCTTTCAAAAGGTTTCAAACAAAGGGAGCACGTGTGTACTTTATAAACTCAAGTTTTTATCCTTTTCACATGATATGAGACTTTGATTGTACTAGGATCACGATTAACCCCCCCCTTAGTAGATAGACCACAAGCATTCAATATTAATCCCTCATATTTCTACCGTTAATTTGCAACAATATGACACGCTCCTAACCTCCATGTTACCAGAAAGACATCCACCTCCATATATGGACCCATCATTAGAAGTCACCAAATCTATCATACTTGTTCAAGCTAAGTCAATTCTCCATCCGCTATCATTGTTTCTTCTTGTGCACCAAGATTCACACATCCCCATAAACGACATCACTTGTTAAGGTGCACTAAGGTGGGTGTTCGACACACATTCACATTGGTATGATATTGTCCACTTTAAGCCTAAGCCCTTATGGTTTTGCTTTTAGTTATCTCTCAAAAGGCCTCATGATTCTTCTTCTTTTCACATGATGTGGGACTTTGGTTGCATTAGGATCACGATTAACTTCCCCTTCAATTGATAAACCAAAAGTATTCAATAATGATCCCTCACTTTTCTACTGTTAATTCACGTCAATTTGACACACTCCTAACCTTCATGTTACCATCATCAAAAGCCACCAAATCTATCAGACTTGTTCAAGCTGAGTCGATTCTCCATCCCCTGTCATCGGTTCTTCTTGTACATCAAGATTCACACATCCCCACAGATGACGTCACTTTTTGAGGAGCACCAAGGTGGGTGTTCCATACACATGTCCACATTGGTATAATATTGTCTATTTTGAGTCCAAGTCCTCATGGTTTTACTTTTAGTCATTTCTCAAAAGGCCTGGTTCTCCTCTTTTTCACATGATGTGAGACTTTGATTGCACTAGGATCACAACTAACCTCCTGTTGAGTGTCCTTTTTTGTATGTTTTGCACTCAACTTTTTAGCATCCACCCTCACGCATGTTGTCTGCTTCCATGGAAGGTAATGTTTAGCAGTTATGTTTTGTTAGGTCCAGAGTAGGCTTAATAGTTACTCACAGCTAAAATAAGAGATGAGTAAAAAAAGAGACAAGGGAGAAAATAACCACAGTAAAAATATTATTTACTGAAAGGGAGGAAATTACAACACTTCTCTCTCTATAACTTACTCCTTTTAATTAGGAGACTACTACTACCGAGAACAGATCTCAAGGTGTATAAGAGAGGAAGAGAGAAGAGGAGAAGATTTGGGATGAAAATTATGATTTTCAGCTTCCCTATTTATAGGAAAGTCCCAATGGTATTTTCGTAATTTCTCCTAAACTTTTAATATTATTTTATTATTATGTGGGACCCGCTTCTAATATAAAATTAGAAAACCACCGAAAGGTGGTGGCAGCTCTACGCAGCTGTACCTAACATGTTTAATGTCTTTACATATATTAATTTAATAAGATGATAGTTAAGACTCTTGAAATCAGGGATGTGATTTGAGTTTCAAATTCTGGAATAATAGTATGTTCTAAGTTCTATATTGTTTTGGTTGCCAAGAAATTTTAGTTTTTATAAGATGTTAAAGGTACGGTACTGTTGGGCAAATACATAAATATCTAACATTTAAACAATAATTTTCAGAATTCTAAACACTTAACTTACACAAGCTATAACATTAAAAATGTTTTGCTTTACAAA